CCCCCCCGGTTGTTACGCCACTGCTTATAGCCACCCACAGACACCACAATCTCTCATCTGGAGGAGCACTTACTAGACATGTGAGAATTTTTGTCTGGGTGCTAATGTTTTTTTCTACTAAGCCACTACAGCAGGAGCCTGCAGAAAGCCTCGTGTACCCCAATTCAGTACCCCTAAAATAATTTCACCCAAGTAATAAAAAATAATCTAAGGGCCCGCTTATTATATTTATCCATACAAAGCAGGTTATACCAAATATCATCAAAAGCTTTAAAGGATGTCTTCACCTGTCTCAACATTTCTTTTGTTTCCAGTGATGTTGTCTCATAAAACAGGTACAAGTCCCACCGTGCACATTACCTATGGTGAAGGGTGGTTGTACGACTTCTAAATTTCAATATAATGTATTTATCTGAATATATTTCATTAGCTAATCTTAATAATTCTTGTTGGAGGCTTCAAAATCTCCATCTGCCATAATGTGTTCTGTAAACAGGATTGCAATTTACAAGTTCTAATCACTGACTGCATTTATTTGATTGTGTTAGCCATTTATCAAAGGTTAGGTTTTTATCAGAGCCCATATCCTTCTTTCTGCAATCAGGCTGATATTGCAAATGTGGACCGTTGCCAACCTGCCTGTTTAATCTGCAATTCTGCTACAGTTAATCTGAGTGGGTTGCTCATTTTATCAAGGGCTCCAAAGCTGAGCAAACAGTATGGCTTATTCAAGCCAAGTTTCCTGCTACTGTAACCCAATGAGGCCACAAACATCTTTTCACGTTATTTATTTGGACATATACTTACCACTGCAGCACATAATCCCTTAGCATCCACCTCTTCAATGCAACACACACAGGTCTATTTACAAAAGGGTGAAGAATTTGGAGAAGTGAACAATCTAGGACAACATACGGTAGCTGAACTACCGTCTAGGAAACTGAGCTGAATCGGAGAACTTTTCCAAATCAGCTATTTTGGCCTAGATTGCTCACTTCTCCGTCCTTCTCCAAACTCTTCACCCTCTTGTGAATAACCCTGACATTCTTCTTGTTCTCCTCCTCAATGCCTTCTTTAAATAGCTGATCAATCAATTGGCAACTAATACAGCCAAGATTACCATATTTTTCGCTGCATAAGACACACTTTTCCCCCCCAAAAGGCGGGCAAAAATGTCTGTGCGTCTTATGGAGCGAATGTGTGAGAGCTGAGGCGGCGAGGCTGACAGTGTACCCAGGGGTGTGGAATCCCTATCGCCCGACAGCCGAGACATGCAGTTTCGGGCGAGTAGTTTTTTTGTACATTTAGCCCTGCTCCTGACAAGCAGAGCTAAATGTATAGTATGGAGCCGCCGCTCGTTTTCATACAAGTGATCTAATTAGGGGACCCTTGACCATGGCATAGGAGCTCACCGTAGAGCCCGTAGAGCAGACAAAGAACGTGCGTTCTTCATCTGCTCTGTGTGATCACCGAGACCGTTGCGCTGTAATCACAGCGCCACCTGTCTCAACTGTCAGGAACTACCGCATCTCATGGTCAGGTGCGTGCTATGGAGTGCAAAATACGGTAGTTCTCTTAATAAAAAAAGGATGATAGAAATGTGCTTACTGGTACAGATGAGTGCGATAATTACACTTGTTACATGAGAAAAGGGTACTCCAAGCAACAAATGTCATTTTTGCCATGCAAACATTTCTGTTTCTGGCATTGTGTTGTCTTGGCCATTATTCAAAATACTGTAGCTACAATTTTAAAATGTTGACCCAAGTCAAGTAATATGGTCATGAGTTTTTCTCATAGTGAATACAGAAAAATTAAAAAAGACTGCAAGGCATAAGAAAAACTGACACACATATCTATTTATTAACTATTCACATAGTCATTTGCCAGGCAAAACTCTGTGAACATTTTATGAGAATAAAGGCCAAAACAAGAATGTTCTTAGTATATTTTATTTTCAGGTCAAACGTAACATTTGGAAAATACCACATTATGGCCACCAGATGGAGCGGAGGAGCATAGGAAATCATTATTTCCTATGCTACTCAGCTCCATCTGGAGGCGATAATGTGGTATTTTCCAAACGTTACTTTCGACTTGAAAATAAAATATACAAAGAATGTTCATTTTGGCCTTTAGTCACACAGAACAAATGATAACAGAGATTTGCAGGGTGAATGGCTCTGCAAATTGTTTGTACCCCTTAAGACCCCTCAACCCCAACATGCAGTAAAATGACTGTACATGTCAAGCATTTCAAGTCAGTAGCACATGATGACTTACCTTGCTGTTTTGTATACACCGTACTGCATAGGTTAGGTCCCTGAAAATACATCCTTCCAGTCTAGCTTGCCCTTGAGAGCAGATGAAAACTCCCCCTTTGCCATCTCTAAAAAGGCACTTCCGTACAAGGCATCCTTGAATTGTGCTGGCAAAGTTTTGAAGGTCTTTGTCTCTCTGCAGCTCTTGTTGCAGGCTTTTTAAAGCCATGTCACTCTGCAAAGTGAGAAGACCATTGCTTTGTGGTCTGCAAAGTATAGATTTGGACAACATGTCACTTAGTCCATGGGAATGATAGGACAGCTTGTACACCGACGGGTTGTCATCCTCATTCTCACTGACTGTGCTAAGTTCACTATCACTGTAGTCTGTATCCAAAGTCATGGCTTCCCCTTCTTTGCCCACGTAAAAGTTTCCATTGAACTCATTTTCTTTTTCATCTTGCACTTGCGATTTGGGGTGAGGAAGCAAGTGCTTTTGGTCTCTGTTCACAATGATCTCACATGTCCTTATATTTCCACCAGGTGACCCATTAGCCAAGTTGTCCGCAGTGTCCCCACTTCCAAGTGATGCCTCTGATGCACTGTACAGCATGGTCCTGGCCTTTGCAGAGGCTGAAAGATGTTTGCAAGCCCAGCTTTTATCAGATGTAGGTGACCCCTCCACAGTAACAGAGGCATTTTCACTGTTGACAAATTCACAGTTCTCCAGCACACTGAGAGCCACATTGTGAAAATGTATGCTGGACTGATTAAAAGTGCAAAATTTAATTTGGCACGTTCCTGGAGCATGGATCTGCAGCTGGCCATTTTCAAAATTGCAGTTGTCAAATTGCACATAGCCTATAGAGGTCTAGGAAACAAAAAAGCATGTGAAAAAAATATATTCCTATAGCCAAAACTCCCTTTCTGTCTTGGTGACAAGAGTCACCAGGACACATAGAGAGAGTGAATATACCAAGCAAGGTCACAGACAGTAATAAAAATCTCACAGGGGCCCTAACCATACATATGCTATCCAAAATAAAAATAAAGTTTGGGTTATGCATACCCTTTAAAAGTGGACCTATACCCATAGCTTTAAAATAACAACAAAGACACCTTTAGAAATGTTCAGTAATGACAATCTACAAACACATACTTCTAGATAATTGCCGGATTTATATTCTTTGCATACCTTATTTCTCTTTTCTTCCCCAGTCTTCTGGCAGTGGCCGTGTTAGCGAAAGGGCAGGTTACTAGCTCTCACTTTACTTCCTGGATTGCTGACACATGTAACTAGACATGTGACCATGCTTATCTCAGGGGAGGAAAATGCCTTTCACTGAGATCTCCTGAGATTACAGATGAGACTTCCCAGCAATGCTCTGCTGATAAGACAATCCCAGTGTGCATTGCTTTGGCAAACTGAAGTCATTTTACCATTTTAAAGCAGGAAGTGAAAGCTCTACAAGTGTAAGGATTTCAAAATCCCAGCATTTTACACCCGACATGTCTATGTTATTATTAATCATCATACATAGAGGGTTGCATTGGTTGAATCGATTTCTGAGTGTAAAGGTCTGCTTTAAGTGCAAATGCAGCTTACCAACTCCTCAGATAATGTGGCTGCATTTGTTTTTTTAGGCTTTTCCCCCTTTTTTTCACCTGGTAATCCTGTCCCTGGGTGGCTATGCTCTCTACTCCACTGAATCTATACAGGGAGTTATGGTTGCCACCCAGTCTGTACTTTAAACATTTCTGCCTTTATACATTTCCAGAGATTAGTAATTTACAGGGAAAAAAAAGATAACATTGTTTTTGCTTGCTTTCAGTTCATCTCACAGATCTGAGATGAACTGAAAATGAAAACAAATGCAGCCACCACATCTAAGGACTGGTAAGCTACAATACATTACATTTTTGCTTTTGAGTTTAGTTATACTTTAAAAAGTGATATTAAAGTCAAACATGTTTTAAGCTATTTAAAATGCTGATGAAATCATGTACAATGGATGCTGCTCCTTGAAGTTTAAACGTTTTAGTCTCGTGCAGAATCAGCTGGCCCCGATATCCTGTTTTAGGGTGGCTTCTTTTCCTTGCAGGGTCCTAGGAAGCACCCGTGTGCGCTAGTACGTTGTGTGTGTCTCCACAAACACACACAGGCACATCAGGGCAAGCCACTTCTCTGCTCCTCTTTCCTCCCTTGCCCAAGCTAGTGGGTGGACATCTACTGCAGACTGCTCTGTCCTCTGTAATCTTGCACTGGACAGGAAGTTCGGGGAAGAGAGCTGAGAGAGTTGAAGCTGTTTGGAATCATGATGACTAAGTGTTGGGCACACTTAAAAAAATATTTTGCTGGGCATTGTTCATTTGTTTGATCTGGATTTATTAGTGAAAAAAACATTTGAGAGTTTAATACTGCTTCAAGGCTGGATTCACACATTTCTTTGCATGGCGTAAATGCACATTGCCATGTGTATATGTTCGTTGCCTTAAAGCAACCTAATTATTTTGAATGGGCTGCCACTGCACAGGAATGAACAAAACAACAGCAGCATTTGTTTCCATTGCAGTGCATTATTGCATGTTGTGGTGCGCTGTAATGCATATACATCGGCGCTGTATTGCCTTAATGCAATGGTGTGCATTTAAAATGAATGGCACAACGTGCTAAATGTGCATTGCAGAACCATGTGCATTACCGCAACACACCCTTTGCAAAGGTGTGTTTTAGTGCTATTTCACTTTTTTTCCGATTAAAAACATTGTTTTCCTGTCAAAACCAACCATGGCAACATTACAGTATGATCATGGTATGGTTTTAGCATTAAAGTAACTCTGTTGCTAAAAGAAAACTGGCAAAAAAGGGTCCCCATGGAAAGAAGATAGTAAATACTTACCTGAAGAGATAGCACATGAACATTCTTCAGGATCCAATGCAATCCTGCTATGAAGTGGAGTCGGTGAGAGGAACCACTGAGTACCGTGAGGGACAAAAAAAAAGAAAAATCAACACTCCTTGAAGAGTTGCATTCTGAAGAGTTATCATGTGGTGGTTTCTCTTCATTACAATAGCATTCTGAGGCATGGTTATAGGGTGAGGAGAATATTTACCATCTTCTTTCTAGGAGACACCTATTTGCCAGTTTTACTATATCATCTACTGAAAATAAACACAGGCAAGTATACTAAAGCAGACCTCATTAAAGGCAAATAACATAAATATCACGCTATCACTGTTTGGCATAAGTAATAGAAATCTCACCTTAAACATTACCGGTGTGAACCAAGCAGGCATGAACACCAAGTTGCATAGGCGAGATGTGGGACACTGCTGGTCAATGCAAACAAGTAAAGCCACATCACCAAGTTTTCCCTGGCCCATGATCTCAACAGGGACTTTTAGAATGATCTCATTTTGTTCTTCATAGACACCAGGCTGGAGCATAATACGATCATAAATGTTAGCTGAGGCTAGGGCAGTCTTTAGGTTCTCATACTCACAGCCATACCCAACATAAAGGACTCTACGATCCTTCTTTCTTCGAAATAAATACAAACAATTGGAGGACTCAAGATCCTGAGCATTTTTAGTCCAGGTTTTGGAAGCTACATAATGCTGTTTGAAAGCCTCTCTCCATGACTTTGGTTCAACTTCCGGCTTAATGGGCCAGTTGGGGTGTCTACATTCTACACATCCTAGACAAAGCTGCCGCCATCTTGTGTTATCCAGGCTTATTATAAGGTCATACCACGTTCGGCAGACTAAGCCACAACGCCCAAGGTCACGCAAAGGCAAATAGGCCAAAATCAAACGCCACAGTTCAAGTGGTAGACCACCAATCTCCATAATATCCTATTAATAAATAAAAGTTTAAATGTTAGGCTGAAGGTAACTTAGAAAAAAAAAAAAAAAAAAAAAACGGTCATCCAAGATACATCGAATAATCAGTAAAGCTTAGAAGTTTTAGAAATGAATTCACCTTTATTAGAATCTTCTGATTTTCTGTTTAACTTTCATCTTCATCTCCATTTTTTTTCGTCAGTGTCAGTATCTTGATACATTTCCTGGCCTAAATAAATCAATCAATAAATGCTAAACAATACATACCCAAAAGAATGCAGCAGGTTTTAGTAACCAATCACCTTTAATTGATCTACGGTACCCGCATGCATAAACCCAAAGTCTGCGCATGTATGCATATGCCAGTCAGTCAACATGGTGAGGAATATAGCCTTTACTAGACTTTTATTTTTGTATATAATTATCATGGTTCATGGATTCTTTTACATTTATTTGGAACAAGACATATATTCAGCATATACCACTTCATCTCTCAGACAAAAGTTGTAAATTAGGACTGACTGAAAACAATTAAAGCCGACCCCGCCATCTGCATGCAAACAAACATGTGCATAGGGCATGAACATGTACGTAAATGACGGTTTTGCCACACATGTTGGGTATCACCGCAAATGTCGGAGTGAGTGAGAGCAATTATTCTAGGTACATAATTCACGGTTGACTCTAAACTGATGGGCAGTAAAGGCTTTTAAAGTGCTGCTTATGGATGATTTTGAGTACCATAGTTTATCATTGCACGGGTGTGCTCAATTTTAAAATGTGACATGGCTGGTATGTATTTACTTTTTTTTTAACCTAAAAACTGGGTATTATATTGTGTTTGTGTGTACTCATTTTACCTTTTTTGTTCCTAAAAATAATTTATTTGATAAACTTTTGTGTAAATATCACGCAACATAAAAAAATGCAGCTACCATGTTTTTATGCTATAGGGCCTTTGCTTTCAGAAAATATATAATTGTTTGGGGGTAAAGTATACAAAAAAAACCCCAACAATTTTAGCATGTGTGAGCAAAAATTATTAGTAAAAATGAGAAAAAAATATGTTTATTTTGTATATGGTTGAGAAGCTTTGTGCCCATTTCTTATGAGCAGGCATGTGGTTTATCCTTATTTTTCATTAGCTTTTGGTATCTAATGACCCCCTATCTAATGACCACATGAGGTAGTGGTATGGAGGTCTGGAGGACTCCAGTTGTGAGAAAAGATTTACAGGGTTTTTCACAAAAGGGTGAAGAGTTTGGAGAAGACAGGAGATGTGACCAAGCTAGGACAACATAGCTAAACTGGAAAAATTATCCAATTCAGCTATGTTGTCCTAGATTGTTCACTTCTCCTGCCTTCTCCAAACTCTTCACCCTTTTGTGAATAACCCTGTTAATCTGTTTACCTTTAAAAAGAGACAAGAAATATAAATATTTATAGAAAATTTACTGGGATGGCCACTGAAAAGTCATGTAGGAAACCTGTGAGACTGGAAGAAAAGAGATTTAATCTTTGATGGTGAAGAGGGCAAGATAGGCAGAGCGTACGTTTTTTTAAGTACCTTACAACCATCGCAAGACAAAAGTCTTGCGATGGTTGTAAGGTGTGTGCCCAGCCTTACAATCAAATGATGAAAAGCTGTAGTATGTGACCAGGCACAGCCTGTACTCTACAAGACATGCTCAGAATTAAAGTGTATGTAAAAGCAAAACATGTTTTTTGTTTTTTGATTCAATCAGATTTTATTAGAGGTTTTCAATACAAATCAAGACAAACAATCATACAGATAACATAGCATCTATAGGTATAACAACAAATAAAGATGTTTTTTGTTTTTTAATAGAGTGGGGATAGGTTAGAATCCCTGTCAAGTTTGTATTGCTTGTAATTAAGCACTAAAGAGCCCCAATCCACACTTTAAGAGTCCAGAACAGTACTATTGATTACACAATTATCAGGAACAAGAGATGGTCAATGCATTTCAAGGACTCAGCAATCCCCTCCATCAGGGCATAGGCAATCCCTTGCACATACACAACAGGACACAAACAGGTCCTAAAACAGATAGTCAGTGGGTGTCCTCAATACACAGCTTTGCAGCCAGAAAATTTGGTCCACCTAGGAAATTGGTTCCTTCGCCTACAGGTGCCCATACATCTTATGAATATCGGACGATTTTCATATGCGATCGCGTTTTCATCCGAAATTCGTACGGTTGATGGGCAGTGTACAACCGCAAATACTGTACAATCGATCGACTTTTGACTAACCAGCAGGTTAGAAAACTTCGGTGGAACGTACGATTTTTGCAAGGTTGGTGGCGTTTCCATAAGTCGAAATTCGTACGGTCTACACTGCACATGCGCAGACGAAAATACGTGCGGTCGATTACCGCAATTCGTCCAGGTGCTTTCTTCTAATTACCACTGGTCCAACCTTGTGATAATCGGGGCAGGATGGGGCCGCCGTACGAAAAACTGAGTTAGGTACCTGGTAACTCGGTTTCCAGGAATCTTCCAGGACAGCATGTGGGAGGAGACTATCTCTCAGATGCTGTCCTGGAAGATTACTTGGGAAAATCGTATGACAGTTCGATCATCAGGCGAAAAGTGTCGTCCGATGATTGCAAGGTGTATGGGCAGCCTTACTCTCATCTCCTCTTGACATCTGAATTGCTGTCTGTGCCCTTGCTTGGAAAATTCACCTTCTATTAGTCCTAGTGGCCACAGTCACCAAGACAGAAAGTGGACAGAGCAGAAGGTGAGGATAAATCATCCAAAGGGAACAAATGTTCCAATGACAACTTGTCGGCCAAGTAAAGCCAAGTACATTATAACATTTTAATATGACCCTGTTGCTACAAAAGCAAACAATAAAAATGTAGTTATAATGCCTACCAGTACTGCGTTCACTACAGGCAATCTTTGCTCTCTTGCAGAACTTTCTGGTGTGTCAGATACTATTCCCTCTGCTAAGTGTTATATTTGTACTTCACAACTATGTGGTTTTTACATTTTTCTTTTCTGGCACTGCTAGAATATACAGCAATTTTGCATAGATCTGCTGATAAATGCTGGCGAGTACTGGCAGGTGGGATAATGTTGTTGCATATATACATAATTTCTTATATTAAAGTGACACTATACTGAGGAGTTAAATCTTAAAAATGCATTCAAGTTCCTTAACGATTAACATAAATGTATCCTATTTGTGTGTCACTCAGCTGTAGATCCCCCAAATCATCTCTGAATTGGTGCTGACACTGTCCTTCCTTCTGGAGGGTGGCTACTTTTGTTCCCCATGGTCCTTGTGTGTGTGTTGTAAAGTGGTCACCGCTCCAAACTCACTACTGTGATGGACTACAATCTCAATACAAATGAGTAAACTAAACATGAGATTGTAGTCCAAAAGGGGCGTGAGCTTGGAGAAGTGACTACTTTATAACACACAGGGATCATGGGGAACAAGTAGTCACCCTCCAGAAGGAAGGACAGTGTCAGCACCAATTCAGAGATGATCTGAGAATCTACAGCCGAGTGATACACAAATAAGATACATTTTTGTTAATAGTTAAAAATGTACATGAATGCATTTCTAAGATTTAAAAGGAGAACTATGAGGTGAGTGAATTTCACTCAACCTCATAGTTCGAGCCGACGTGTGACAATTAAACTGTCACACGCCGGCTCAATAGATCGGGAAGCGAGTGAACACATACCGTCGCTCGCTCACTTCTTGATCATTTCCCTGCAGAGAGCCGTGACTGTCACTTACGGCTCCCTGCAGGGATTCCCTCCCGATCCTTCAGCGGGAGGGGGCGGGTACAGCTGACTCTACCTCTAGATAGGCAGAGCCAGCTGTCAATCACGCAGCTGGGTGGATCTCGACAGTAATGTCGAGATCCGTCCTGGCTACGGTGGTCTCAGTATACTGCGAGCTGTAGCTCGCTATATACTGAGCTTTGGGTCACGGGAGGACGCTAGTTTATGTCCTCTCGTGACGCTTAGGAGAACTATGTGAAAAAAACACTTACCCCATAGTTCTCCTTTAACTCGTGAGTTTAGTGCCACTTTAGAGTACATCAGAAACCAACTAATTTTCTATCACAGAAGGAAGGCAGAATGGTCCACAGTTTCTTACCAACATTGCTTCCATTTTGTTGTTCAGTGAATGCCTCCAGATGCAAGACTGAACTGGCTAATATGTCACATGTAAAGCATTAATTATCATTTTGCATGAAGTACATAGCAGAAAAAATATAGCACCATGTTCAGGATTTAGGATTCACATAAACCCAGTATGCAGGGGGATTTGTCTCTACTGCAGAGAAGGGCTGGAGATCTTGCAGCAGCAATCTTGATGTAGTATAGAAGCCACTGGATTAGTTAACCTACCGAGACCCAGTCAGAAAGAAAAAGTTTACAGAGGACTTGATTATTTAAAGGAACAAATGCATTTTCATTAAAAGTGCACTAACCAGCCACTACCAGCCTTACTTGAAATCTTGTATAACATAAACCCAAGGCCAAGTCACTTACTGATGTCAAAGAGATAGCTGTGGCCATTCATGAGCCACTGTACTGTTTACCGAACCATTCTGTAGCTCTCACCCACACTGGCTTCACCTACATTCTTAGCAGTGATATGGAGCCATTTCCCAAGACTGAAAGTGCTCGAGTGATTACCCAATACTCTCCACCATCTATCAAAAACTAAAATATCCGTTGAGGAATATTTTATATTAGGGATGCACTGATAACGGTTTTGCAGTATCGAATAAGAGTACCAATACTTATCTTACTGGTACTTCCATTAGCATGGAGCCGGCTTCCCGGCCAATCAGCATCGAGCCAGCTTCCTGGTCAATCAGGAAGCCGGGCAGCGAGTCATTACCCGCCGCTCGGCTTCCTGATTGGCCAGAAAGCCAGCTTCATGTTCCCTTGCAGCACTGCCGGTCAGAGGAAATCTCCCTCTGGCTGGATGTTCTGGTATCGAGGGTAAGTATCAGAGAATTTGGGCGAGTACGAGTACTCCCCCAAATACTGGGTATCGGTGCATCCCTGTTTTTTAGGATTTTATTACACAGATTTTTTTTTTTAAAAGTATTTTTATTAATTTTGCAAGTTCTATTACACAGATTTTTAATCAAGTGTGTAATTAGTTTTTACTGTAGAGTATACATGGAAGCAAAAAAACTAAAAAGGGTGATAACCCAATA